AATACTGCATACAAATCAACAACAGTATCTTTAACGGATTAATCATACCCACACAAATCAAAAACATATATTCCGGATCGATGTAAAATGTATTCCTGACAAATGCATTGTCTTTATTACTTGTAATTAGTACAGGGCTGGTGTAGTAGATCAAACAATGTTTCCGTTCATTTTTCGGATTCCTGGTCACAACACATTGGCGAAGATTTGCATCAACAGGTGGTATAAACTCTACAACTAATGAGTTATCGACCCTTTCCTTGTATAGATCCTGCAAAGCAGCCAATACTATGGATAGAGTGTTTTGATTAGCAGTATCTTTTGCATTTGTGAATTTGACGTCAAAGGTATTGTAGTTACTAGCGTTATTGCATTTCGCACAGAAACGATTTTTAAAAAATATATTTGAATCGTTAATAACCCATGGACCAAATGAAAAAATATCGTCTGATTGACATTTGATGTCAATTTCAGTATTTTTCAAATCTGCAGGACAGGTTTTCACAACTTTTATAGCCTTTTACAACCGGCATCGAAACAATTATAGGTGATAAACAATCAAACAGAAGATCATTGGAAACGGTAGAATCATCGTGGATATCAGCGTTATAGCAGCAGTCATTGTAAAGTAGGCATAAATCATCGCAGTGACAGATCTTAACGGTCAGGTTTGATACGTGTTCACATGAACTATATTTTCGACACACATCCAAGAAGACAAGCTCTTCGATTTCAGTTTTCGGATTCGATGATAAATATTGTTTCGGATTCGATGATGAATATTATTTCGGATTCGATGTTGAATATTGTTTCGGATTCGATGTTGAATATTGTTTAATTATGTCGCTTGTCGTAGTATCTGTACTCCGATCAAATATATTCACAAATATATCACGTAGCCGTTCATCGAAAGTAATGATCGAAATCAGTTGGTGCAGTTCAGATTGATTTTCGGTGTTTAGTACAGGGTTTATTACAAGGCTTCCACGTACTTTGAAAACAGTATCTGGCAACATGTATGACGAATTCAGTAATGAAACATCTTGTATCGACTCATCTGCACGTTGAAAAACACTTGATGTGTTAATAGTTGAACTGACCGGTACCATAGATGTAGCATATCGGTATTCCTGAATCCCACCAATAACAACAACATCACTGATAAAGACCATCATCAAAAATAGTTATCGAAAATTGGTGAGTAGTGGCATCCAAAATGTTCTAAGTTCTTTCAAAGCCATTGCAAAAACTGTATTTGTTACTTGTAAAACCTTAATTTATACCTCCTTCGAATATATTTTTGTAGCTATCAATGTCCTCATTAAAAGATTTGTTTTCTCAGCAAATGAGTTCTTTCAATAGCAAATTTCAATTACTAATGAGCTTTTTGTATTGGATTTCTGCTTTAGTCAGCGTTTGTTATTGTTATAGCATTGAATTGATTGTGCGCAGTGACGGCAACCATTCTAGAACTATTTGTCAAGAATTAACAATTTGAATGATGACTATACAAAAAGGATAAGGAGAAAAAACGTTGAATGGCATCTTGAATGGCATGCAAATGTCTGATTCCTGGCCCCAATTAAACATTCTTTTTAATTAGGTCCTTTTTAGTCTAATCAGCTAGCACTTTGACGTTTTGTATTTCTACATATTTTGGCCTCTAGAATCACGGAAGAGACATTAATAGTGGAAATTCGCATATGTTGCAATAAAATAGGTACACTGTACATAAAAGTGTTAAGAATCTGAACACTTTTTGAACGCCCTTTTGTAACACTTCTAGAATGCGTAAAGGTGTTCTAAGTATTAACATTGGTGTTCCAGTTTTTAACATCATGTGTGCATATTTCGAACGCTATGTGTGTTATTCTTGAACGGATAGTGTGTACTCCTTGAACGCCTAGTGTTTGAATCTGGAACATGTCCTTGTGAGCACAATTGTACGCCTTACGCGTTCCAAGCCTTGTAACACTTCTGGAACACTCGGACTGTGTTCCAGAAATATGTGTTAATATCCAGAACACATAGTGTATACTACTTGAACACAATTTTACATGTTCCAGAAAAAAGTGTTCCATTCTCTGAAACATTATTGTGGTCTTGTAAAAATAATAATTTAATTGATTAAAAACATCTTTAATTGATTAAAAGAGACAAAATTAAAAAAAGTACAAAATTTGTGAAATATTGAAGCAACTTTAAAATGACAAGTTAAACAAGTTAGAAATATAACATTTGACAACGAAAAGTTACATTATAATTTAATTGGCAAAATGTGTCCAAATATTTAATCAGACAAAATTTTCGTCACATTCAAAATTATAATGTTACAACAAAGTCTAGTGGGTATGAACACAGTTTAACTCATCGTTTGAAACTTCTTAAGTCAAGCACTGTCCTGAATTTCTTTACAAAACTGACGCCAATGGCTCGTTTATCACCGATAATTCCATAATCCACAGCCTCCATAGCACTCAGATAGTCAATATCAAACATAAAATACCCTGTATATATGCTGCTAGTAGTCGAGTAGGTGTTCATGTAACACTGCTACCTTGGGTATTTTTAAACATAATTTGAGTCTTCTACAACTGTTTTTGAGCTTCCATTTTAAAGAGGATTCGTCTCCTTGGGTTATAACTATTCTTTAACCTTTTTACCCACCAGCCGTAAGTTCTGAAATGTCAAATATAAAGTGTATGAGTAAACAAATTATTGATCATGTCGATATTCCTTAAGAATTAGAAACTCTTATTTCGTTTTTGCAATTCCATTAAATTTGTCAGCATAATTAGATTTTTTTTTTGCAATATTTGATAAGATGCATTTGTTAAAGAGTGGTATACATGTATTTTCAAGCATAGGGGCTCTCGTGTTCTATAGCTTTTTGAAAAAAGATGATAGAAAGTGTACAGCAAATGGTCATAGGTGTTTTAGGCAAAACTTTGACTTTAGACTTGTCACTAAATTAACTGCTAACGTTTCAAAAACTAAAGACTATTTGCCTGTTTTCAAAAAGATATGTAGGAAATTCACTTATGATCTGTATACGGATAATTCCAATTTAAATTGATGTAATTATATTGGATTTAACTAAATTAGTTTTCTGATTCATGTACACAAGTGAATGGTGCACATTTTATTGATAAATCTGCATTACCAAAACTTCAAAAATTGTAACAAGTCAATGGGCACTCCTAAAATTCTTAAACTTACATAAAGTACTTTTATGGTGCAGGATAAGTCGTCATCTCTGGAACTGCGAAATTTTCGAGGTATGCACGAACAATTACCCCTAAGTACTGTAGTTGTGTTTGTACCCTATAAAAGTAACATAGGAATACCGTACAATACATGTATTAAGTGCACAACGGTGGACATTTGCTAAAATGAATTACTAAGAATTAAGTATTTAAGAATGAGAAAGCTATTAAAAACAGATACATTAGAAATTTAAAATGAGTGTGTTGCAGTATGCCCTTTTACAAACCTCTGTCTTGACATTGCAATGTCATGACAGTTTTTGTATATATGTGAACAAATCCTTATGCATTGTTTTTATTTTATTAACAAATGTACATCCTCAAAAGTGTCAAAAGTGTGGATAATCGCGTGATCTTTTTGTTGCTTTCTATACACAATGTTTGGAACACATGGCGTTCAGGGAAAACGATTAACTGGAACGCATCATGTTCGAGACCAGAACACATTTACAATAGCAACGATATCATTAGCATTTACGTATAAATTTTTATTGGTTAAAATTTAAAAAAAACATGATCATTTAAATGTATTCTCTCAAAGAATCTCCTACTTGTTTTAATCGAATTATGGCATAACAGCACAGTTATATATGTGTTCAAACAAAATGTTCTACTTCCATTTATACTTCAGTGTGTCCTGTCAAAGTAGAAATTTGTTGATTAAATACTAAAAACAATTAATTTTAAGTTCGTAATTTGTTATAAATATAGATATACATGTACATACCTATTAAATCATGTTTGGTTGTTAATTTTCTTCAGTGAAGCTTTTTCAATCGCGATCAAAAACCAAACTTCCGGTACATTAATACGCCACGCGCTGTTCTGTACGCGGACATGTTTGGAACACATGACGTTCGGGGAAAATGGTAAATTTGAACGCATCGTGTTCGACACCAGAACGCTTTTACAATAGCAACGCTTTCATGAGCATTTACGTATTTACATTGGTTGAAAAATATACCCAAAGAACTTAAGTTGTTTAGAAAAAAGATGTATATCAAAAATCAATTATTTGCACGCTTATAAATACGTTCTTGTAACATGTTTTAATATTTTTTTTTACCAAACTGACAATTTGCTTATGTTGATACAGCTTAAATACATTTATCGTCAAATTATAATACGAATCACCCTTATTCATCGTCTGTTTGACTCTGAAGCGATGAAATATTTGTTCATTTCCCATTACAATATTAGAACACTAAAGTGTTCAATTTAGAACACTGGTCTTGAACATATGCGATAAAAGAGTGAACACAATGTGTTATATTCTTTAACGCTGGCGTTCAATGTGGAACACTAATGTTAACAACCGAACATATTGTGTTTAAAATTGGAACGCGTCCGGACGCGTCACGTGTCCGCAATATTTACAGTGTACGGTTTATGTTATTCAATTTGCGTTAACGAACTTTTTTTTTCTTACAGATTATAAAGAAGGCTAAACTATTAATGACTGTTTATCAGAACAAACGTTTCATGCAGATGAATAATTGAATGGAAATGTGTGTTTCTGCATTGACGAAGCTACAAAAAATGTACTACGGGTAATTCCCTCGAGAATTTATACGGAATCAAATGATATACGGGTAAGTGTCTCATTTTTGTTCAGGGATTCAAATGCACATGAACTACGGATGAGTGAATCAGATATTTACAGGGGTTTGAATGTATGATAAAGTCTCGGTTATTTATCAGCATTAACATCTAATACGGGTAAGTTTCTCGGGAATGAACCAGGATTCCAATGTATTACGGGTAAGTGTCTCTAGAAGTACAAAAAAATAATTGTAACGCGGTGAATATCTCGGGATTTTACAGATATAAAATGTAATGCGGGTAAACATACAGGTATCCATTTTTTTTTATAGGTAAGTGTATCAGGAATTTACAGGGATTCAAATGTAGTACGGGTAAGTGTATCAGGAATTTACAGGGATTCAAATGTAGTACGGGTAAGTGTATCAGGAATTTACAGGGATTCAAATGTAGTACGGGTAAGTGTATCAGGAATTTACAGGGATTCAAATGTAGTACGGGTAAGTGTATCAGGAATTTACAGGGATTCAAATGTAGTACGGGTAAGTGTATCAGGAATTTACAGGGATTCAAATGTAGTACGGGTAAGTGTATCAGGAATTTACAGGGATTCAAATGTAGTACGGGTAAGTGTATCAGGAATTTACAGGGATTCAAATGTAGTACGGGTAAGTGTATCAGGAATTTACAGGGATTCAAATGTAGTACGGGTAAGTGTATCAGGAATTTACAGGGATTCAAATGTAGTACGGGTAAGTGTATCAGGAATTTCCAGGGATTCAAATGTAGTACGGGTAAGTGTATCAGGAATTTCCAGGGATTCAAATGTAGTACGGGTAAGTGTATCAGGAATTTCCAGGGATTCAAATGTAGTACGGGTAAGTGTATCAGGAATTTACAGGGATTCAAATGTAGTACGGGTAAGTGTATCAGGAATTTACAGGGATTCAAATGTAGTACGGGTAAGTGTCTCAGGAATTTCCAGGGATTCAAATGTAGTACGGGTAAGTGTATCAGGAATTTCCAGGGATTCAAATGTAGTACGGGTAAGTGTATCAGGAATTTACAGGGATTCAAATGTAGTACGGGTAAGTGTATCAGGAATTTACAGGGATTCAAATGTAGTACGGGTAAGTGTATCAGGAATTTACAGGGATTCAAATGTAGTACGGGTAAGTGTATCAGGAATTTACAGGGATTCAAATGTAGTACGGGTAAGTGTATCAGGAATTTACAGGGATTCAAATGTAGTACGGGTAAGTGTATCAGGAATTTACAGGGATTCAAATGTAGTACGGGTAAGTGTATCAGGAATTTACAGGGATTCAAATGTAGTACGGGTAAGTGTCTCAGGAATTTCCAGGGATTCAAATGTAGTACGGGTAAGTGTATCAGGAATTTACAGGGATTCAAATGTAGTACGGGTAAGTGTATCAGGAATTTACAGGGATTCAAATGTAGTACGGGTAAGTGTCTCAGGAATTTCCAGGGATTCAAATGTAGTACGGGTAAGTGTCTCAGGAATTTCCAGGGATTCAAATGTAGTACGGGTAAGTGTCTACGCAATATACAAGGTTTAAAAATATATAAGCATAATAGAAATCAGTGCAAATGAAACATTTAATACGGACCATTCAACAATGAAATTTATAATGGTTTTCTATTTTCGTTAACCAACAAACGTATCGATACACCGTTGAACATGTGCGTAATATTAAACAATTGTTTTCGCTGTATTTGCAATATAGAATAAACCATATAGAAATAATTATTAAAAGATAGGCGAAAAACACCTAAGGGACACTCAACTTACAAGTCTAGAATTAAAATTAACTGATAACGCCTTAGCAATAAAAGAAACAAAAGAAGTCAAAAACATATATATATATATATATATCGGGTTGTTGTCTCTTTGACACATTCCCCATTTCCATTCTCAATTTTATATAACAGTTCACAAACGCAATATAGAAAACTAATGACTGAGCAACCCGAACCCCACCATTATTCGTTTGTTATTTCAAACTAGTCACCGCCTTGAGTATATTGAGACGGCCTTCCATAAAACCCTATGATTATTACTTGCAAGCACTATCGCGACATACCATGTAATTATCAATCCATTATCTATCTGTTAGCATTACCTGGGGTTATTTTACATTCTTTTGACATTATGATACCGTTAATCATAAATACAGTGCCAGAATAATAAGTTCATTCCACACATCAAATCTATATCTATGTATTGTAGAAATTCGATCTCGCATAATTTATTTTATCTTCAATTGTGTCATTAAAAACAATCTAATAGTTGCATGACGCAAAAAGAAATTTAAAACCAGGTTTAATCTACCATTTTCTACATAAGAAAATGCTTGTACCAAGTCAGGAATATGACAGCTGTTATCCATTCGTTTGATGTGTTTGAGATTTTGATTTTGCCATTTGATTAGGGGCTTTCCTTTTTGAATTTTCCTCAGAGTTAAGTATTTTTGTGATTTTACTTTTTATCAAAATGTGTTTGATATAAGAACTCATATATCACGTCATGTTAAATTTTCAAATTGTCTAGAGGCCGTTTTAAATTTACAGTGAGGTCAGAGTTTTGCAGCTCAGTGTTGAATGCATCACTGTGATTTTGAAATGAAGAACGCCAATAAAAGAGCTGTTCCTTTGCTATTTTTTGGGTGTGGTTTTTTTTGTTGATTTTGTTGCAATGCATGTATTCAATTTGTTTGATGGATAGACACCCCATGTATTTTGTTTTTCTATTAAATCTATATAACTGAATCCAGTTGTCCTTTAGACAATGCAACTGTAGCAGAATGGAGTTACATTTAGATTTCTCGAATTTTTCATTCAAATAGATCACAAATAAAAATGTAAAAGGAACATCAACAGTTCCTAAAAAGTACTTTTACATTTTTAAACCGCTTTGATAAATAACAAAAACACAGGTACACGTTTATGACGTTTTTACCCGACTGTAAGTGTTAAGCTTTTGCTTGCCCGGCATAGTGTACGAAAATGTAAGTACACATCCTTTTTTTTAAAGATATATCTTTGCTTTCAGATGACTACGTTATAATAATATGTGTTGTTGGGATACTGTGGCCTTGACGTATACCTCACATAATTTCTAAAATATTCTACATGTAGAGGGTATGGATGGAGCTTACAAGATTGAAAATGAAAGACAAAGAGTGCAGAAAAAAGGATGCACTTTGTAAATACAGCTGTTTCTTAAACCACGCCTATTTTGGGGAGAATATTCATAGATAATTAATTTTGTTTACATACTGGTTCCCAGTTATGATCTTTATGTTGCATCTCATAGGGATATAACTTGGGAATGTTACCAGTAAATATACATGTGTATATTGTTTATATTAAAATCTGCGGTAACCCTACAGTCGAGGTAGTGGTAGTTAAGAAATTTAGTGTAAGTTTAAACTCTTAGAAGTTTAGGGCATATAAACGTTGAAAATATGCCGCACAGCCCTATATTTTGACCTTTGAAGAAATAGTAGTGAATATGAACTTTCCATTCTAGGATATGGGCCCGTGAGCATAAAACATCTTAACTTAATTGTTTCTTAAACTTAGATTTCACTTAGAATTCACTTAGTTTAGTAAAATTCTAAGTCGTATGCATAAACTTACTTAAGTCTTCACTTAACTAAGGAATACTTAAATCGGAGCCTTTTTTTAATTACCGTAATTCTGTGATATATATCAGCTCATCGCAGGAACTCAGTCGTGTAAAAGTTTGTTATGATTATTTACTTTGGTTGAACAATACATACTTTTATTAAGAGTTGGGGTTAAATTGATGTTGGTATGTAAAACAATTCTATAATACGTTACATGGTACAATGTTGAAACAAATGAAAAATTGGCGCAGACGAGAAACGGTTGGCGTTTCGATTGATGAGCATTGGAAGAAAAAAATATTTGTAATCCAAAACTTCCCCCTACTTAATCTTTAATTCATCTTTAATGGATGTTATATTTTCTGGAGACAACAATAAATCTTAAACTTTAACAAAACATGATTAAGGTTTCAATGGCGTAGCACCAGTGTAGCATTGTAAGCATTTGCTTACAAATAATTTTATAAAACATTTTTTTTTTCAATAAGAATTTTACTATAATCGTTCAACTTCTTATACAAAATCTATTTCGATCTAAAATAAACATTTATATCTCTTCCCTTTTACAACAAAAAAGGGGGGTAGGATTAATTTTTCACGAATCCATTTATAAACGAGGGCATTTTTCAAAAGTCCTACAATCTTCACTAAAACACATTATTAGATTCATATGTTTACGGTAAGGTATTATCAACATCTTAGCGTACTTTTTTCGTTAACAACAGTATATCACTGAATATATAAGGAAATATGAAAAATAATTTAATACGGTTTACGTATCATAAATACGTTATATAAACTTCGAATTCCATTGGGTAGCAGTGGCGGATCTAGAAATTTTCATATGGAAAAGGGGGGGGTGCACTGACTGTCATAAGAGGGGATCGCTACAGTGGTTCCCTAAATAAACAACCAAATTGTTCCCGCAAAATGGAGGTCCCTGTTCCCCTTAAATCCGCTTTTGGGTAGGTTTTAAAACTTTGCGATTTTGTCCCTGTAAGTGAAACCAATTCAAGGGAAATATGCCCTCCATCTTTAAAATAAAACTAAATAATCTAAAATTAAACCGATGCCCCCCTCCTCCCCACACACAGAAAACAGGGTTTTGCATGATCGCTTCCTTTCTTCATACTGTTTTTACTAACGGTTACAATTGATACCACGCTGTGCATTTTAAGAATTTAATTTTTAACATTATTTGTGTAAACATGCACGTGCAGGATAACAAAAGAAAAATAATAGCATGAATTCCATGCGTGTAAAAACTGAGTACTTTTCGGTATACACAACAACGAGATTGGAAAATAAGGATAGAATGAAGTTATATAACTACTCTCTGTTATATCTTGATTTGTTGATTATACGCGATTTTAAGAAAATTACGATCATCGTTAATATTTAGCAATAAACAAAAGATGTATTAGTATTTTATTACTGATATAAGTATTAAGCAATTGAATTGTAGCTAATCTATTAATGTTCTTGCTAAAAAGCATACTTTCGACAGATTTTTAACTATTTTTGAAAATTTAAGGTAGCTCTATAGGTTCCTTAGACTTAAGTGAAATCTTAGGCGTTTTCTTAGTTTAAGTCGTTTTATGCATACCACTTACGCTTTGTGGGCGTGACTTAAACCAACTAAGATTTTACTAAGGAAATACTTAGTTTAAGATTGTTTATGCATAGGTAAAAAGGGCGGAGTTTCTTTAACTTAAGTGTTTACTAAGGAAAATCCTAACTTGAGTAGCTTTATGCATACGGGCCATGGTTTTTTTTCAAAACTTCATAGTAAAGCGGTACAGTTTTGGCCGTAAAGGGAGTTCCTTTTAGAAAATGCATTGTCAATATTTACAGAAATGCAACCCAAAGGGGGATAAAGCAAAGAAACAAATTAATAAAGAATAAATTATAATATGATGCTTAAATATAAGGAACCAAGTGATACTTCCTTCATGTCGTGCTCTGTGTTTACAAATAAAAATGTACTACGAACATCAACAGTTCGATAAAAGAACTGTTCACTATCAAACCGGTAAAATAAACAACATAAACACAGGTTCACGTTTTTGTAGGACTGTTAGTGTTTAATTGTTACCAGTCCGACATAGTTCATATAGAAATGTACGAAAATTAAAGTACAAAATATTTTTGCTTACAGATGTCTTCTTTATAAAAGTGTTTCTTGTTGGTATGCCGTGGCATTGACGTATACCTTACATAGTTTTTAAACTGTTCTACATGTTGTGGATGTGGATTGGGCTTACACAATAGAAAATAAAAAGGCAAAAGGTGCAGACTAAATGGGGGATAAAGCATAGAAAAAAATAAGAATAGATTATAATTCGATGCTAAAATATAAAGAATCAAAAAATAATTCCTTCATGTCGTGCTCTGTGCTTATTTTAACATGGGTTGGCATTATATTTGTCGACAATTTACACTTAGCGATAGCAAGGGTTAAACCATGGTTTATTGTTTCGATACTTAAAGGAAAGTACCTTAGAAATGTTCGGATGTTCCCGTTTCATCCCATGGGGTATGAACATTGTATTCTCATACTAAATAAGTTTTAAAACTTATAACAGAGTAGATATATTTGTTGTTTGATAAACAATATATATCAAAAATTTATATAATTAACTAAAATGTATACTTCTTAGCGATAAAAATGAAAATAACGAAAATGTAAAACAGCAAGTGTGTGCGCATGTGTCATACATATATTGTGCTAATCTGCACACGGTTTTGTTTACAAAGCGTAATAGGGACTTAATATTAGAATAGAGAATTATAGACCAAAACAAATAAACAGTAGAAAAAAATGCAAGAAGAAGGTTTTCAAAGATAACAGAAATAATGTGTTTAGATGAACAAAAATATAATTTGGTGTCTTAAAACCGGAATCCAAACTATGAATCCAGTCTCACAATGAAAAGTTAAAACAAATGCATAATATTTCGAACATGAAAAGTAGAAACTATGCAAACAATACAGCATCAAAATGTTTATGTGTTCTGTTACATTTTGACATACTGTTATGCAGTGTCATAAAGTCCTTCAATCATTTTCATAGAAATTTTATTTTTGATCTCGGAAATGGCAACTGTAGAACTCAGACGCCATTTTTTTTCAATTTCTGGGACATAAGTGGGGTCTTTACATTCTTCTCAAAGAACTTTTATTATGGACCTTCGCTATGCAAGGTGCATGTAGATCTCGTACGCCATTTTCTTAAATTTCCGGTAAAAAAGTTGTGTTCGTCAGTCAAATTATTTTAGCAAAAATTATTTGTGAGACACCGTAAACGCACGCGACATTGTTCAGATCATAAGTATCACTTAGAGTTTCATACTGTTTTGTCATTGTTGTGGTTTGAGATAGTTGTAAGGCAAGATATTATTTCTGAGAAAAAAAAAGAAATTTCTATTTCTGTTATCTGGTTAAAATGCGGTGTTTTAGCAGTACAAGAGCCACATTTATCATATTGTTAAGCTCTTTGTATACTGCTGTAGAGGAGGCCATACAGATATAGTTAAAATACTAATTCTGAACAATGTTAATGTATCTCAGTTTGACATAAATGAACATTCTCATTTGTATCTAGCCTGTAATAGAAGCCATTCAAATACAGTATAACTATTGATTGAGAATAATGGTGTTGTCTTTCAGTGTGACAATTCTGGATATTCTCCTAGGTGTGAAACCTTTAGAGGAGGCCATTAAGAGATAGTTAAAGTATTGATTGAGAATAATGTTGATGTCTCTTAGTGTAACATAAATGGACATTCTACTTTATATGAAGCTTGTAGTGGAGGTCATACAGATATAATTAAAATAGTGATTCAGAATAATGTTGATGTCTGTCGGTGTGGTAGTATTGGACTTTCTCCTTTGTGTGAAGCTTGTAGAGGAGGTCATATAGATGTTGTTAAAATATTGATTCAGAACAATGTTGATGTGTCTGTGTTTGAAGAAGGCGGAGGGTCACCATTGTATAGAAAGACATACAGCTTTAGTGAAAATATTTCTTCAGAACAAAGCTGATGTTTCTCAGTGTAATCAATAAATTGACCAGTCACCTTTACATGTTGTTTGTGATAAATATTCCATCCAATTACATCTTTTTATGGATTATGCAAAATATCAAAAGGTATATGCAGATGGCATTGGAATTGTAAACTTATTAATTGCATTACAAGCAGATGTTGAATTATGGGATAAAAATGTCAAACATCACTAGATATTGCCCGTAAATCTTCTTGGGGAAAAGATGAAAAATAATAACATTCAACTGTTAATGGTACAATTATAGGATAACAGTTATATTAAAAAACTTGTTGAGAAACAAGTATGTTCGTTTTATTTGTAAATAGAATTATTCTTTTATTACCATGATTTATGATCAAAATATTCATGTAAACATTATAAAGTCACATAAAATATATGTACGCATGAATCAAGGTTATTTTAAAAGTTACTTGTTTTAGAGACTGGTTATTACCACTCTTATTTTATTAATGCATCAACATACTTATTAGAAAACTATAACATTTATAATTCATAAAATGTGACTTTAAATAAATCTGTTCTCTTTAAATCTTTTAAATTGAATATGATTAGTCAAGTCAGCTTTTGTCATCAGATGGCGCTCGCCCTTGTTAACTTTAAAAATAATCTTCACTTCTGAAAAATATTACCAATATTTACTTGAACATGTTGAAAGATCCTTAGGAGATCAAGTTTTAAAGCTGTAACTGGGATTTGATGAATCATCAAACATGGCCTACGGTGATAAGACCATGTTAATTTTGTGTACTGTTGTCTATATAAAAAAAAAAGATGTGGTATAAATGACATAGAAAAAAAAGAAAAAAATGGCGAACTCCGAGAAAAATTCTAAACGGAAAGTCCCTAGGCAAATGACAAGATCTTTGAAAGTTGAAACACATCAAACGAATTGAATACAACTGTAGAAGAAGGAAAATGCTGTTTTTGAAGGCATAAGATTCTATTATCATGATAATCATAATAAAGGATGCACATATTTAAAATTCTACAGTTCTATCAAATTGAGTAAAAAATATGATTTTGCATGATTTCGTGTTAAAAATTAGTTAATTCGATGGGACATTCTTCTAATGCAATATTTTTAAAAATGTTTTATAACTTTTATTCACTTTAATTAGGAAATAATCCGCTAAAAGTTATCATAGTGATAAGAAAATTGTTAGTGTTGTTTTATAACTCGAATGATGCATCGCCTTCTATAAGTCAGTGTCCTCTTGATTTTAATGAAGTAATAAATAGTGACTCCAAATATCAGTCTGGGTTATTCGGGTTATTTGTTTAAATGCAGTCTAATTCTAATCATTTTTACAACCGGCTGTTATCCAAATTTTTCTAATGATAATCTCCCAACACATAAAAATACAATTCACAACATCATTTATAAAGTGTTGTAAATTGTATACGTTTGGATTGTTTTTATTTATGTACACACCAATGATTTTTTTTTTTTATCTAATGTCATATTCCAAAAAAGGAATAATTTCAATTTACAAGCCTTTTAGTGCATTCTTGTTCTTTGTGGGCAAAGAAAAGTTAGATGTCGTGGTTAAGATCTAATCAAGTATAAACCGGCTAATATAATTTAATGAAAGTAAATACATGTTTTACGATATCATGCAGTTCACTATAATGTCACAGCGGCACAAGAGCGGTATAAATCACGTAATCAAGTAAGGACGATAATGCAATAGAGGCAGCCTTTGGATTTATAAAAGATGTCTATCCGTACAATGACAGTATTACGCAACGTCGCCGAAGTACGTAGAGATCGGCTGATTCAGAGAACCATAAAGACACGAGACCCGTAACAAATATGCCACGCACTGGCTATGTGTTCTTATAAAGATAGTTCGAGAGAAAACAATAGAAAAATATGAAAATCAATTCAGAACAAGATTCTGACTTGCTTAGATTTTTACAGTTAGTGCTTCATGACCCGCAAAAAACAACATAAAACATCCGGCTACAGTCCAGCATTAAATCAAAAAAAGAAAGGCGAGGGACATTCAAACTCACAAGTCGAAAATAAACTGATCACGCAATGGCTAAAAAAGACAAAGCATACTTTCGGGGCCTTTTATAACTGACTATGCGGTATGAACTTTTGTCATTGTTGAAGACCGTATTGGATGGATGACCTATAGTTGTTAATTTCTGTGTCATTTGGTCTATTTTTGAGAGTGGTCTCATTGTCATAATTACCACAGCTTCTTTTTATAAACAACTGTACACAAAATAATAAAGAAAACAAAAAATTTAGCAACACGTACCCCCAACAAAAACTTGGGTTGATCGCAGATGATCCGGAAAGGTAAGCTAAGCATATTCTCCTCCACATGTTGCTCATGTTAGTGACCCGGTGGTATATCTTTTTCGGTAGTTTAAATTTGGGAAAAGGTTCGTGATTGAAGTAACTACAATTGGAACATAGCCGTTGTCATCTGTAAAACTAATACTCCATAAAAGTCAACCAACTCATGATTCCGTCCGTTAAATTTATGAAGAAATGATTTCAACTTCACCACTTGACACTCTTGGTTTTATAGCTTCTCTGTGAGCAGAAACCCTCTATCATGGAAATCATGATAGAAAATACAAGCTCTGGAATATCGAATCAACAGCTCTTGCTTTCCAATTCATTTGTGTATCTAATCAAAATCAACCTAAGACACAGCGGAGGTAACAAGTCAAATTTAACCTGTCTTGATCAGCAACAGGATATTTCATTCAAATTTAACATAAAATTGAGAATGGAAATGGGGAATGTGTCAAAGAGACAACAACCCGACCATAGAACAGACAACAGCAGAAGGTCACCAACAGGTCTTCAATGCAGCGAGAAATTCCCGCACCCGGAGGCGTCCTTCAGCTGGCCCCTAAACAAATATATATATACTAGTTCAGTGATAATGAGCGCTTATGTCTTGATCAGCAACAGGATATTTCACTCAAATTTAATATAAATGAATATCAGAATGTTCTATTCAGCACCAATTACAATCAGATGATTAATTAATTGCTATAATAAATGTTTCCCGAAAATAATCACAAAAAATATCAAATTATGAAAATAAGGGTAATAATTTCTGCTTATTACATGTTTAAATTACAACATGTTGATGAATACTTTTAAAAGAAAGAAAATAATATCCAGAGTTAACTGGAAACTTTTATTTGCAATTTAGACTTTTAATTATAATTTCTTTGGTAAAGGCAATCATATAACATTTCAGCGTTCATTAACGAACCAATTAACGAGTCCTATAGTTAATGTATGCATTCTAACTGGATGTAGCTGTGTATATCCCGCCAATCAAACGAGCTCATAGTTTAAAGAGTTTAAATACCGTTCGGTAGGTCAAGGTTAGTCACTTAGTACACACTGTATCAATCTACCAATACTATTTTTAGTTTCCTGATTTAGTGTCCTGTTTGTACACAAGTAAGTAGACATAAAATATGAAAGTTTGACTTTCTGTCGTTTCGTTTTACTATTATGTTTATATTTTTTATTTGTCCAAGTACTCTTAAAAGTATATATGTAGGTGCTCTCCTAGTTATTTGAAGGACAATGTCTAAATTACAATGTGTAAGTACAGAGAAAACGTATACTGATTATTTAACTGAAAATAAGAATTGAAGGTCACATAACTTATTTTAGACGAGAGGACGCATCAATATTACATTTAATCTTACATGTCCTGGAATCAGTTCAATTTTTATCACAGGAGAATTATGCATACAGGTCCGATTACACTCTTAACACACATAGACAAACAGTTTAACAATATTTGCAGTCAATGTTGATGGTATAAATTACCAGAAGGACAATTCAAACAATTCTGAAGGTAAGTAAATAGTTACTTTAAAAGTTGATCTTTCTATTTGAATAGAATAACCATAGAGATAAAATAGCATCACATCCACATTACCTCAAACGCCTACAAATTAAGTAAAAACAATGTCAAGATCAAGATGAATAGCCTCAACACCAAACATACGCTGTGCTAACAACAAACATCGCGTACTGTCAACTTGATTACATTTAGTTTCATGTCAAAAACATAGATTTACATCGGTTTATATTATCTGAATATGATAGTTATTATTCACACATGAACAAACATGTACATAGACACGTAATGTATATTAACATTACGTAGAATTGAATTAAACATATATTTTTTTTAGGGGGAAATGGAAAAAATGTTTGGTTCTACTGAAAATGAAAGGGGTGATTTACATTCCTGCTTTACATGTGGCACCCGTCGTGTTGTGAGAAAAAGACGTAATATCCCGAACTATCCAACCCTAACTTGTCTCCAATGATTACTCAGCTGAAGCATTCGTTTGTATATGTTGTGTACATTTTATTATTTTGTACAGGTTATTACTGGTACAAAGACTTTGTACAAGTAATTACTTGTATGATGCCATCATACAAGTTATTACTTGTCGAAATAAAATTGTACTGGTAATTACTTGTACAATTTTTGTTGAGAAAAAGATAATAACTTGTACAACTCACTATCTTTTAGTTATATTTGTTTCTTCTTTTTAAAAAACTCCCCTCTTTGGGTTTGTTAGTCTGGAATTATTTTGACATTTTGTTGTGTTTTTCTTTTCTTTTGTTTGTTTTTTTTTTTTTTTTTCTTACCAGATATCACTCAGCGTATGTATTTTTAAAATTCATTTTGTGTTTGTTTTTGGTTTCTTTTTTTCAAGTGTTTATTAGTATTGGTTTTGAAATGTTAGAAGTTTACAGACGAACGACGGACGCAAAGCAATAACAAAAGCTAACATGACACCTTGAGCAAATTTAGATAAACAGCTTGATGCCACTTAGATACGGACTTCTGGTGCAAATTAAAAAAGTCGTTAAAAGCAAAAATAAATTGTAATGCTTTTACAATTTATTTTCAAACATAAATCATGACAAAAAGGTTCATATATAATATCATATTTAGGAAACAAAA